GGGTGATTGGGTCTATGTATTCCTAAGTCACAGCAACATAAAATGAGCACAATAAGCACATAATGTAACCATAAGAATCTTGTAATGTTATATACACAATATCCAAATTAAAAAACACAATGACTTCATTGTTGCTCCCTAAATGCAATGTTACTGTTCATTTCATGTTTTGTGGTCCATCTGAGTAATCATATAGCATGATAATGTTTTGTCTATCAGATATGGATCTTATTGACAGCATGCTTGGTGTTTGTATCACTTTTCTAAATGTTGTGATGTAATTAAATGCAGAAAGTAAAGAGGGGAAAGATGCCATGGTTGGGATTTTGTGGTTCCAGCTGGAGCAACACATTACCCTTGTGTTTTAGCCAAGGCAGTGGCTCGTAAAGATTATTGATGATGTACACACCATGTGATACGAGTGCTGAGCAGGATATAGCAGCATTAAATCTCACTGATGTATAGCCGTCCTTTTCTCACTCCCACTGCCTCTCTTTTACTTTCTGTCCTAGAAGAGGTTGACAGTTGAGAAAATTAAACGTTAGAGGAGGGGAAACTCAAGGCAGAGCGGCCCTTTGTTTTTTACGTCTCTTTTACCTCCTCTCATTTGACGGGTGCATGTATCAACATGTATTTAATAAAGGTACATGTGGAATGTGATATGATAAATGTGTTTACCCGCAGCTGTAGTTACCTAACTGGTTGTTATGCAGATTTTATCAGCACCTTCTTTGTTTTAGGAACATTATGAGTCAAACCTGCTGCAATAGTGCAATGAATAACGGCTCAAGTAGCAATGAGGGAGCTTCTTTCTTGGCAAACGGCTTCAGTTTTGCAAAATGTAAACATAAATCAGATTCAATCTAAGCGACTGTGAGGGAATGAAGCCCCTCTTTTTCAATGACTGTCTAAATATGAAACTCGGGCATTCCCCCCTGTTGTGTTCTCTGCTGAGAAGTGTGTCAGTTGTGCTTTTAAACAAACTTGTTACTGTTTTGTGGAAACTGTTTTGAAATAATCACATTTTAATCAAATGTATTACCATGTCTATAACGTTCCCTTTTTTAAATGTATTTGTTTAATCTGCAATGTTTCAATGCTATCAAATATTTAAAGGGTTGGATTGAAATCAGGAAGAGTTTGTCGTACATAGGTTCCGGCAACTCAATTGTGTTTTTATAAGTTACTTTATTTATTCTTGTCTTATGTGGTTCTTAGCAGATTGTTATTTGCATTGGTTACACTTAATATCTTGGCTTTTAATTGTTGACTCAACTCATCTTTTTCACATGCAGAAAAAATCTCATTAGTGAGTTTAGCCAACTCCTATAATTGCTTGGAACCACTTGACACATATTCTTTAAGTTTTAGCAATTTAACACATTCTTGAGTAGAGGAAAACTAAAGAAAGCAAGTTTCACCAACTCAAAAAATGTAAAAGTTGACTAAACTCATAAAATTGCTTGGAACCACTTGGCACACATTTTTTTACAGTGTACTCTGTTTGAACATACTCAGTAGCTAGTTTGTAGTTTTGCTTTTTCAGAAATCAATGAGTCAAGTGAGAGGTTTTTGTGTGAGTTTTGCAGCTTTAGGCCTTCGATAGAAAGGATAATGAAGAGGTAAAAAAACTGAAATATATATTTACCTTCTTGCATTGAGTCGTATAAAAATATCAATTCTAAATGTCTAAGAGCTAGTTATGCTAAAGCCCCGCAGACTAAGGGGTCGATTGTTGTAGCTAGTTAGCATAAAGGCTAAAAGCATGTGGGAAAAAAGGTTCCCTATACATCTCTTTTGTTGTTTGGTTACTTTACAGTAGTTAGATTATAATGCTAACTAAACTATGTGGTTAAAGCCATGATGGTTAGCTTTGGTTAGCCTTAGTTTAGCTTCGGTTAGCATGAGCACTTGGAGAAACCAACACAGTCTCACGGCAT